GGTAGAAAGCTCACCGGAAGCACTTTTTCATCAAAAAAAGATGGCGGCGCCCAGCTGATGCCGGTACCGGGCCGCGGCGCCCAGCTGATGCCGGTACCGGGCCACAGCATAAAAAAGGTTGGGGATCACTGCTCTAGGACACCTAAATCTCTCACAGTTATTACTGTTGATCCAGGTACTGTCTGTTTTATACCTGAGCATTTGTTTTTTCAGAACCTTACTTTCTCATAACTGAATTACCTCTTAGGGCCTATTATTCAAATCTGTCAAGGTCCTTCTGAATCTTGAGTCTATCTTTTAAAGTAGTAGCAATTCCCCTCCCCACCCCAAGGTTGGTGTCATCTGCAGATTTCATGAATCCTGTTTCTATTCCTTCATCTACATTATTTATGCAGATATTAAAGAACACTGGGCCCAAGACAGAACTCTGAGGAACCCTCCTGCATGCTTCCTTCCACATGGATGCAATTCCATTGAAGACTAGATATGGAGTGTGTGGTTGGTCAGCCAATTGTGAATCCATCTGGTGATGGTACTATCCATCTCACATTGTTCTATCTTACCATGAAATAAGTTGTGGTCTGCTTTGTCAAATGCCTTATACTTGTAATATACTTAGACCCTCCCAATTCTAAGTATACCATATGTACAGCATATATCCATAGCATTTCCTTGATTCATTTCTTTAGTTACTTTATTAAAGAAGGCAAACTATGTATTCTAGGCAGCATAGATTAAAAAAGCAGTAGTAATTGGGAAGCTGAATAAACATACTCTTTTGGGCTTATATTTAAGGCCAAAATGAAGAATATTTACATTTCTCCCTTTTTTTTCTTTTCCCTTCTTACAGGGATGAGTATTCTATATTAACAATGATGTTAATAAACCAGAATTTTATATTCTTTTATTAATGGATGCCCACAATTTTCCAAAACAAACCAACAAAATATATACATAACCATCACAAAGTTGGAACAAAGTTTAATACTTTTGTATACTGATCACTGTTTTTGAAATGAGGCTTATTTTTTAGTATTGTTAATTGATATAATTTGACAAAACTTAAGGAACTGAACTTACTGCACAAACCTCTCTTATTACATCCCATATTCTTTGATAATAAACTACATTCTCATTCTTTTTAACTCAACCTTTATTTTACCTTTATTTTACACAAAAAGAATATTAAAGCTATTCTTTACTTTTTGAAAGATAAACAAGAAACAATTACATTCTTGTGAACTTCATTTCTTTTCTGAAAGATTTATATTACCTTTCGTAATCTTCTTGATACATCACATGCATTTTTCTGACACATACTTTTGCCTTTTACTGCTTCTAGAGAAAAAACTGTGAAAATGTTCAGTTATATGAGGGAAACTATACAATGTATATAGTCTTGATTTCTAAAGGAAATTAACTATGAATTTAAAGGACAAAAGACTTATTTGAGTCAACTTCAACTCCTGCTGACTAGATATCCATGTCACTTTCTTGCCAACATTTAATAAGTAGTATGTCAATGCAATCTTCCGAAGTATTTTTCAACATCTCACTTTATTCTACACTGCTAGATTTTCTGGAAGTCGCCCATCTAAAGTACTATTGTGGTCCATGCCACTTAAAATTTTAGAGATCTGCTGAGATCACTAAGGTATTCTCAGCCACTGTGGCATCTATTTAACAGTAATTTTTTTAAAATAATCAATTAAAGAATTTAATCCTCTTGCACATATAATTGAAAAGTACGCTGTATCACCAAATTTTTACTTTTATACTCAGTGAATATGTAAATGATGCAATGAACAATCCATTTTAGAGTATGTGAGACCTCTGATATAGAATATGTAAATTAGAAGTCAAAATTTTTAAGTTGAATATCAAGACCTCTTTTTAAAGAAGACTCTTGTTGTCCAAAATATATTGCAGCACACAGTATTGGATCAAACAAAGCAATGATGTGACTTGCTATGGTACAAAGGAGTAAGATTTAGACTGAAAGAACAAGAGAATGTGTAGTTATATAAAGATCACAACATATATTTACTGTTTATGTGAATAGTCATTTTTGTTATTGTCAGTTTTATTACCCCACAAAATAGGATTTCTTAGATGGGTCAAGTATATTTTTCAAGGACTTATCTGCTGTTATTAGACCTAAATGAAACCCCTGCCAATAATGAGAATCACTTGTATTTCAACTCCAGGATGTCAAAGCTTAAATTTTTTAAAATGTGAATTTACCAACTTTTCTCAGTGCAACCTATAAATTTAGTCTACAGAGGTTTATGCCACAATAAATATAAGTTAATGGTTTATAATATGGTCAATAATAAATCTTGCATATAACAGTTCATTGCTTTCTAAATACATCAACATTTTTCAGAACTAGTGCTCCATTATTAACTAATACTGAACTATGTTTTATTATTGAAAATATCTACAAGGACAAAGAAAACTGAATAACAGGGTTATACTGAACTCATTATTTCAGTCATAATATGACTTTCTTAATATATAATTAAAATGATCTGGTCATTTACTAAATCAGCAAGCTGTCAAAATTATTTCATTGTACATAATTAATTAATATCTCAATTACTTTTTACGTAACTTCTGTCAGATACACCTTTAATATATGGGACAAAAAAATTTTTTCAACATACCATGAAAAATTGGGCATCCATGAACAACTCTTCAAACTAGTCTTACCTTTAAAAGTGAAGAATAATTCATTTTGCATTCCAGCTCTCTGCATTTTTACATGATGGCATTCAGACTTTTCTAATGAAACCTCGCAGGCTAGCTCCACAACAAGCTTGGCCAATATCTGAAGCAGCTTCTTTTCAAAAGAAGCATTATAGATACTATTGCAGGGAGCTGAATGATACCGTGCTGTAAACTCATAGTAAAAGTTAGGATCAGAATAAGCTGCAGGGAAAAAAAAGTTTAGATTGAAACAAAATCAAGATACCAAGATTAAGATTTAAAACTTCTGAATTTATTTTTTAAACAAGAATTAATTGCACCAAAGGAGAAGAAATACAATCCCCTAGAATATTACATTCAGGAACAAAGTTGCTACTTTAAGTGTACTCAACTAGTTGGAATTCTCCTATGGGATCTTTTTCTTTTGAACAGCAGATAACATTTTATCCAACCATTGTCAACATACTGTTCATTGTTCAAGAATCACAAGAAGAAGAATTTTTGATTACAAATAACTCATGCATTTTTGAAGTTGAGATCTAGACATTTAATTTTCTTCATGTATTTTTTATTACATGGGTTGTATATTAGTGAAGTTATTGACTTAACAATAGGCAGATCAAGACTGAAAAATTCATTTAGAGATGGAAATACAAAGATGATCAGATACTAAAACTCACTGTCTTCTTCAAAGATATGCTGTAACGATAAAAAGGGAGGATTGCTGGGTAAAAACAGACCTTTTAAGTTGGCTGATTAAAAATAAAACTACTTTTCAACCTGAAGAATACCTGTTTGTAAGTCTGACAAAATATTTTAAGAATGGCCTGTCCCAGAGCAAGATTTGAGTTGCTGAACTCCATGGCCAAACTGGGTGTTTTCATCACTTCCCATATTATAAGAGAACCTATATATACAATATCCTAGCCACTGAAAATATTTATCATATTTTGTTCAACTATCAATTATATACATCCACTAGGCTTAAATATTGGAAAGAACAGCCCATTGGGACCTGAACCATAGACTGTCATGTTTCCTCCTGGGCTCAAACGTAAATATTATATGCAAAACTGCTGAGTTTATAATTAAGGCAACGGTCCCAAGAACCTGGTACATTGAACAAATTGACGTGCCCAGTAATGGAGATTCATCTGATTACTGACTCCTTGTGTAACTACATCTGTATTTTATCATTGCATTTCCTCCTATCTACTTTATTCTGGAATTAGACTTTGTATTTTATTTTATTGATAACACCGCAAGATTAATTAGTCAATAAGCTACTTCTGTTTTCATAGGAAAAGATTCATCCAATTCAAAAAGGGCTTAGGGGAAATAGGATTGCCACATTAGTATACATTAATAATAGTATACCCCATTAAAACAAGACCATTATTTTCAAATTAAGATAGAGAAAAGAAACAAATATAAATAACTACAAACAGTATATTCACACAATTCATATATTGCATATATAAAATTTTATTAGAATATAATTTCAACAACAAAAACTATTACATGTTGAAAAAAATAGGATAAAAAGTAAAAGATACAAAAAACAAAGAAAAACAGAAATAGAAAAGAAAAAAATAAGACTATAGTATAAAAAGGGAAATATATTAAGAAATGACTTCCCACCTCTCTCATAATAAGTATAGGCATTTTTAGTAACCTATCACTTTATCTTGAAATGCAACAAATAATCTCTTCTTCCATATCTCATTTCTCGTCTATAAACAAATCCTGAAAGCACTTCAATCCTGATCTCAACAGGAGTCCATTTAGGATTACTCTAGATAGCAATATACCTATTTTAAATCTGATCAAATAAATCAACTTTATATTCCTTCTTTTCTTCTGACTATAAAAATAATATTCTGGATCCATTGCTGAAAAAAACCTCTTTCAGTATGTCCAATCTTACAGTATTCTGCTTCAATCTGTAATGGGGTTACAGTGTTCATCTCTTTCAACTATAACCATTAATTCCCTCTAATAGCCAATTTTTACAGCAGCAAATTCAAGTATTCCTCCTCTCCCTCAGAGTCAGTCTCCACCAGGGGCATGACAAAGTGGTAATCCCTTCTTCATTCTCTAACTCTTCTTGGAATTTGTTTTAATGTTATGATCTCCTTTCCTTTGTGGCTTAGGGGTTCATCCCTTGTCTTCTTATATATTTCATCCCTTGTTGCTTTCCTGGAAACTTAATGTGTCCCTTAATAGTTTATGACGCCTTGTTTAATTTGTGTGTGTTCTGTATATTTCATCTATATCTCCTTGAATCTCATCTATATCTCTACTTTTTTGTAAGGCGTCTGCTAATAGTCTTGTCATAATCTTTAAAAGGTCCTCCTTTTTATTTTCCACTACATTCTGTAATCTCAGAAAGAAAGCTGATTTCTCCATTTCCAAATGGACAATTGCTTCTTCCAAATCTCTATTTACTGCCATTAATTTTTGTTCCATTGTCTTTAATTTCTTTTCTGTTAATTCTGGTTTTTCCCCCCACCACCTGTATTTTCTATTCATTTTTGGCTATTGCCTCTTGTATCATTCCTATTTTATCGTCCGACTAACGGATGTCTCCCTTCACCTCTCCCATCTCATTTTTAATCTCCTCATGATTTCTCGCCATTAACTCTTGTTTTTTGTTTTTTTTTTAAAACAAGTTTTATTAAAAATTTCAACAACAAACAAATCATTACATATTTAAATCTTTTCCTGTCTTTCTACAGAAATTTCCCCAATATTCTCATAGAACACAAACAAACACAAACAAACATAAAAAAAATCTTTTAGTAAAGTACCTTGGCCCCAGTTACCTCTCTTTGCATGGGCAGCGCATATCACTCTTCACAATTCTATCTTATTTAATCCATCTTAATTAAATCATTATATTTATATCTTTTGCCCATTCATTATCCCTCTATCTCTTCTTATAATAAAAAGAATTTCTCCTGAAATCACTAATCAGAGTATGATGCCTTTCTATCCTCCCCCTAAGTTAGTAAAATTAACATTCAACATAACAAATACCCAATTCGGTTCTGCTTGGTACATTCTATCCACCAAAAATGTTTAAATACATTGTATCCTCCTTTCCTTCAATATTTTATTACATTTTAAAAATCAATCATTATTAAAGACTTCAACATTTTAATTTCTTATTAAATCTTAAACCATTCTAATTTACTATTTCAAATATAAATGTTACAATACCATCTTCTGTACCTAGCAGAATCTTTCTTACAGAAGTTTATATTTCATCCTTTGTCCCTAAAAAAAATTCCTCTTCTCCCATCCAATTTTAAAACTTTGAGGCTTTTCTCCGCCTTTCCCCTTTCTTTCTTCCCCCACCAAATCTTCCTACCCCCCTTCTTCTTCTAACCTCTGCCTTGCTGGGATCCCTTCTCTGTTGTGTTCCCTTTTTCTCTTGTTTGCTATCATTATATTTACTTTGCATCATATTTTTCTCTTTCTCAAATGTTTTTTTAGATCTTAAGTCCTTCATTTTCCTTGCTCTCTTCCTTCCTTCTTTCTTAGATAAGTTTTGGGATTCAATAAAGATGGCGTCTTCGTCTTTTCCTTGTTGTTGTTCTTCTGTTTCCATCTGTTTCATTGTCTGTTGGTAATTGACCAGCGCCATTTCTAGAAATAGAAAAGCTTTTTCCATACCATCTTTGCAGGCTGCTTTTGTTTGCTCATATTCATCCCTCAGGTCTTCAAAAGGAAAAGCCATTATAAATAAATCTTTTCTTTTCTTTATTCCTCTTTCTTCTTACACCAACCAAATATTCCGAGAGAAAGGTAAAACAATCCCAAAATCCACAATCCTCAATAAATCCAAGCAAGCCAAAATTCCCCCTTCCTCTTCCAGGGGTGGTATCAAACAAATAAAAAGAGAGTCCAAATCTATATTTTAAAGCCTTATTAAAATTATGTTTCTGTCCTCAAATCTTCAAGGCATCTCCTCCAACAAGATCCAGATTTATATATTTTCTTTGTCCTCTCCCTTCCGGCTTAATTCCGTCGGGAGGGAGAGTAAACTTTCCTTTCAGCACCTCAAAATTGCCGCTTTTTTTCTCTTGTGGAAAAAATCATCAAAAAACCATCTTTTCCAGGAATTAAATTAGATAAATCTCAAAGCCCTGGGTCAACCAAGAAGAACTTTCACTTTCAATAACTTTCTCTTCTTCCTCCTGCGCATACTTGCCCGGCTGCCGACTTCTTTGTGGCGGCCATTACGGACCGCCGCTGCACCGTCCTGGTAAAAGGGGGTTCTGCCGGCCAGGGAGGGGGTCTGCAACACCCCCAGACCCTTCCTCCGGATCCCCCTTACCTTCAGCTACCCCTGCAGGGCAGCCTTGCTCCGCACCCGTCCGGATCGGAGCCCCAAAACGGCTAGCGCGGCAGGGATCGCGCAGCTTCGCGAATCCCTACCGCTCGTGAAGCCGACAAACCGGAAACCGCCATTAACTCTTGTTTTTTGTCATTGATTCCTGTATCATGAGTAGAGTCATCTGCATATTCTGCAAGTTCAATGTAGATCCTGATTTCTCTCCCCCAACGTTTTCTATTGAGTGTTATCCTGATAGTTATTTTACTCCACTAGTCATTGCCAACTATAGAGAATGGTGCTCATCTCCGTTTCAAGATCATTGAGCCAATGCTGTCCAAAAACATTTTTATTCATGTGGCCAGCATTATATCACAGAGCACTTGTTCCTTCCCACCAAAGTGGTACCTATTTAACTACTTGTATTTGCATGTTTTCAAACTGCCAGGTTGGCAGGAACTGGGTCAAGGAAGGGAGCTCACCCAGTTTGCATGGCACTCTTGTCTCAAACCTGGGCTGCTGGCTTTCCCAGCCAACAAGGCCAGCATCTTAATCACTGCTACTGCATTGACCCAAATTGCCCAAAGCAAGACCCAAATACAAGAAACAACTTTACATAAAAAAGAAGGCCTCTACAGCAGAGTTCCTCCACCTTTCCAGCTTTCAAGATGGGCTGGGAGAGGAAGGGGGTGGTTCTGCATGAGAGGCAGGTGAGTGTGCATGTGTTTTGATATAGGCTTCACCAAAATCATGAAGCACATGCCTCATCCCAACAAAACCCCTTTTAATTAGGCTAATGTGAATTCCTATCATTCACATCCAGCAAAGTCCTGGAAAACAGTCTTTCAAGAGTGATTTACAACCACAGACCTTACCAGGCTTAAAGAGTTGCCAGGCTGATAGCTTCCAAGCGCAACACTGTACAAGAAAATACTTGGCAAGGAGTCACAAACAAATCTTCACCCTAATTAAATGAACTAATTGTCTCCTGCAAACACCACTCCCCTTTCGCGCCTCTTTATTCCCTATGGGAGGGGCCATTCACCATCCACCTGTACCTTTACCCCAGAGTTGACCCTTGTTCCTTAACTGTTCCCTTCCCCTGGCAGCTCTGCGCATGCACACATTGGGAACAGCTTCAGCCCCACTGATCTCCAACTCCTAAGGCAGCTGATAACTGTCAGACAGCCTTGCCCCATCTCTGCCTCTGATACAGAGCACTTGTCAGAGCCTTCCCCAGACTCCAGGACTGGTGTCAACTATAGAACGTGTATTCAAAATGTTTACAAAATGCTGGAACCCTGACAACTGGACCATGTTCCTCCCCAATCTCCTCACTGTCCAAGTCTGCCCCCAGCATTGCTGGCGGGCCACAAAAGCATGCACAGCTCCATTTGCGCAAGTGGCAGACACATGCACCTACCAATTGTGCAACTGGAGTGCATGTGTGCTTGCCTGCCACTCATACAAGAGGGTATGCATGCACCTGCACATGCTCACCTGCCATTTCTGCAGCCTAGTTCTGAAGGGCTCAAGCCCCGATGATGCCCTGGGGATGCCTGCTCTACAGCATATGGAAAATAAAAAAGAAAGTGCTATCACAGCAAACATTACCCTCTGAGATTAACCTAATCCTAATATATAAATAATTAAATATTTCTGAGAAATTAAGATACTTTTTGAACTATTAATTAACAATCATTGATATACTTTAAAATAATTAGGACTCAATAACATTTAACTTAAAACACAGAAAATATCCTATCACTTGGATCAATTCAACCCATGCATATATAGAAAAATCTTAGTAAAAATAAATAATATTATATCATGATCAAGATACAATATTTTAAGAATTAGGCCTCATTCAAACCTATTTTGTTACCTTCAATAACCATTTGATTAATAGTTTATTCAAACTACAATTTTCATTTTTTCCCCAATCCAGAATCTGTAAAGATTATTATATGGCAGCGGTTGCCAACCGATGGGCCGCAGCCTACTGGTGGGCCCCGAGAAAATTTTGGTGGACCACAGAGAAATGTCACCCCCAGAGTACCCCGCAAAGCAATTAATCCAGGATGCGCAGAAACACAAAGCTGCACTGCCCACATGGCCCGTGGAAACCCTCCCCGCCCACTCACTCCTTACCCAGCAAACTTGCCTGCTAAATTGCTATTTTTCCTTTTTCCAACCATCAGCTGTTCTGCTGTGCCGGGAGATTTAGATTAGCTAGGAAGGAGGAAATGGTTGGATTTCTTACTTTCTAACTAGTCTTTAGATCTTCAGCTCTGCTTTTAAGCACAGCCGAACCTCCCTTAGGACTGAAGGTTCTATTATTCAGTGCAGACTCACGGCAATTTTTTTTATGTGACAGACTGAGCTAGCCGATGGCAGATAGATAGATCACTGAATGATTCTATGAACAACTCAATCTGCCTGCCTGCTTTGCCTGGTTTTGAGTAAAAGTTGCTCTTTTTTTATAAAAAAATTAATATTTACATACATGGTGTGTTGTGAATTAATTTTGTGAGTTTGCTTGCAAGCAAATTTTATGTGACAGACTGAGCTAGCCGATGGCAGATAGATAGATCTCTGAATGAATCTGAGATTTTGTGAGCAACTCAATCTGCCTGCCTACTTTGCCTGATTTTGGGTAAAAGTTGCTCTTCTTTTTAATTAAAAAATCAATATTTATATAAATATAATATTTACATACAAGCCATGCCCAGCCAGTCACATGACCACCAAACCACACCCACAAATTAGGCCACAACCACAGAACCGGTTAGTGGCCCCTGGGATTTAAAATTATGAGTTTGGTGGTCCCTGAGGTCCAAAAGGTTGGCGACCCCTGTTATATAGGACCTTGACAGAGATATGTAACCTTGGCTGTCAAGGCAACAAGTAGAAAGCCCACCATGTCCACATAATGTTTAGAAGCCAGTCAGAGATACCTCCTTAATTCACTGGAGTATAAGAAAGGGGAGAAAACACCATACACTCAGATTTGCACAACATAACCAATCTCAATAAAAATAATTTTAGACTTCTTGTGGAATTCCTGTGGATTTCATTAACTGAATTGGGCTGACATAAACTATAATTAAATTCATCTTTACTATCAAAGTCTGAAAGTGTAAGAGGAATTAAACTAATTTAGTTGTTCTGATGTAATAAGAAACTATTTGAAATATACCTCAACACCAATAAGCTACAAGCTTTTGGGAAAGGGACAGCTTAAAGAGGAACAAATAACATATTCATATTATGGTTTATTGCCTAAGACCATTCTATCTGAATCTAACCACAGAACAAACTTTGGCTATGATTTCTTAATTCTCTAGTATAGAATGAAAATATTTTCTAAATAATACTCCAAAGGGAAAATACTTTAAAGAAAGGTAGTTTGATTTTAGAATGCGCTATGTTTATATTACAATGCAATACTGAATAGAATTCCCAAATTTTGTTTCAAAGTTGGAATTAAACAATTAAAGAATTGAACATTGTTTTGTCAGACTGCTTTAAGCAGTTTCAATCCTAATGAAAAACTGTTTTGTGTGTTCTGTCATATGGAATAATGGCAACTTGACACTAAACTTTGTTTTCATTCTACAACCATAGAAATGGGTATGGCAACTGTGAGTGCCAGCTACTGGCTAGCCTCAGAAAAGGAGCACAACACACATTGAACACAATGCATGAACTCAAATTACCTAATAAATACTTTATCAGGGAGGAAGCATTATTTTTATCTTCAAAATATTTCTCAATATCTAAAATGTGGTTAACTATCAGTGGCAGCAAAAACTGAAATCATACATGTTTTAAAGCCATAGCTTCAAGGAATGTTTTAATAAAACCAACCACAGGATATTGAAACATTTGCACACTTTGATCCAAACTTGAGAGAAAACTCTGGATCACAGGATGCCTTACTTGAAGCTTGAGTTAAAATTCTGGAATTCAGTTTTATCCAAGTTGTTAAACATAGCCTTAAGGTGAACATTTCGCTTATCCCTAATATTCGAGCTATTAGTTAGATGTTATTTTTCTACTTTCTCAGAGTTTTCTACTTAATTAGATTTCTTGCTACCTTTTTAAAAGAAGCAAAAAACTACAGGAAAATCTATATGCCTATATTCTGTACCAAAAGTATTTAAATACCAATTGTTCTGATTTAGCTGGTTACAGATTAATTGCAGCAACATGCTTAACACTATGGTGAATTCATTATATACCTTTGATTAAAAAACTAAACATTGAAAAACAAAAAAGGACAGCTGTCTTACCATAAATAACATATTTAATTAAATAGCTTTTTTCTTCTTGCTCAGTAGTAGGCTTAAACACTAGGGAACATGTGTAAATTCCACTCATGTAAGATTTGAAATGTTGGAATAAAAGAGTTCCTGTTGGGGATATTGTCACAGATTCATTTCCTGTTTTGAAAAAATAAAATAACTTTTGTTTTTTAAGGACTTTCAAACCATAGTAATTACATAGTTTAATTATTTAGTCTTTTGTGAATTTTTCAAATTATAATACTCCCCAAAAATATTTTGTAAAAGATCAACAGAACCAGCCAGTACTAACTGATATGAGAGACAGAATTAAAGAGATCTTCATAAGTTGCAGAAGTGCACAGAAATAAAATTACTCTAATTTTTTTATATGTGTGTTCACTTATTGCCTCCATTATCACTATATACAGAAGAGTAAAAATTTATTCAGCAGTATATTATATTCTCAAACACAAATCTGTCAGGTGGGAGATATTTGAACATTGGTATCATCCCTCACAAAGGTCTAAGAGAAAAATATCCTAAGATAAAACAATATTAATTCTATAAAGCCAGCCCAAACTATTACAGGTAATCCTTGAGTTACAATCACTCATTCAGAGTTCATTCAAAAGTATGACAGAACTGAAAAAGGGGAATTTGTGACTGGTCTACAAGTTGCAGCTGCTGCAGCATCACCACCAACATGTCATCATGACCCAGGTAACCATTACTGCAAGCTGCAGTCACATAATAACAATTTACAAACTTCCCTACCAGCGTCCCAGAAAAGTCAATCAGGAAGTCAGTAGGGAACAATTAGCTCTCATAAATCATTCCCACAGCTTTTTCCCCACAATACCCCACTATAAATTCCTGGGATCTATACTCTATATAGTATCCCCTGTCTTCAGAGCCCACCTGCTGCCATTGCTCCCCAGCACCTACTCAGAGAGCCCTCTGCTTTTCCATGTTCTTTATCTCCCACTTCTTCTTACTTAATGATCCATGCAGGCATGGGGTTACAACTAGTGGTGAGCTACAAATTTTTTAACAGCTGGTTCTCTGGTTCGGTAGGCGTGGCCGGTTGGTCATGTGACTGGGTGGGTGATGTCACTCATCACACCCAGCTCCACCTCCCAGCCACTCACCTCGAAAGAAGAGGTAAGTTTCAGCCGGTTGGTGCAAGTGCCACCACTGGCTGGCCCTGCCCCTTCCCATTTTTCAGCATGTTTTTCGGGCTGTTTTCAGGCCATTTTTGGGGCCGTTTATAGCCCAGAAAATGGCCTGAAAATGCCCCCCCATGCCCTGAAAACTGTCTGAAAACGGCCCCAAAAACAGGCCGAAGAACAGGCAGGGGCAGGGCCAGCCAGTAATGGGATTTGCCAGTTCGCCGAACTGCGCCTAATCTTAACTACTGGTCCATCAGAACCAGTGCAAACCAGCAGCAGCCCACCTCTGGTTACAACAGCAACAGGGAATGCCAGGACTTCAGTAATTAAATGATGGCATTGTGCCTTATGGCAGCACTAAACCTGACATGCTGTCATTAAACATGACATCGTACTTTATGATCACAGTTTAGTAACAACAATCCAGGTTCCAATTGCCATTGAAAACAGTATCAATTTAGTTCATGATCTAAGGACCATATTGCTTTCTGGATCTCAGAAAAATAATTATAGAATTACAAAAATAATGTGACACTGATCCTGGTCTCTCTCCTGATATAACTGTTTCTCAATCTAAGTTAAGAAAAGAGTTTTCTTTCACAGATATTACATGGTTGTCCAGCATAATGAGCCGGGGTGGCTCAGTGGTTGGAATGCAGCACTGCAGGCTACTTCTGCTGATCACCAGCTGCCAGCAGTTTGGCAGTTCAGATCTCACCAGGCTCAAGATTGACTTAGCCTTCCAAAAATTCACTAGACAAATTAGATCTGAATTTAGATTACTGAAGCATGATCTTTTACCACATGCTTTATACTCACACCTTTTACCAGAAGTGCAGAGAGGCTGGATTCTTTACAAAAAAGTTAAGCTACAGGATTTGATGGCATATATCAAGAACTACTGAAGAACTGTAGACCAGCAATTAAATGCTGGCTTGCCTCCTTTTTTAGTTCCATACTATACTCATGTTGGCTGTCTCCTATTTTCAAGACCAAAATAATTGCAATTTTGAAATCAGAAAAGGATCCAAAAGTTCCCCAAAGTTATAGGCCAATTGCTCTTCTCTGTGTCACCTACAAATGTTTAGAAAGACTTGTGTTAAATGAGCAGCCTTAGCAATAGAATCTGTAATCCAAGTTGAACAAGCTGGATTTTGTCCAAGACAAGACTGTAGGGATGAAGTCCTTGCATTAAGTTTCTATCTGGAGAATGAATTCCAAAGGAAAATGAAAAATTTCTCAGTTTGTCTTGACCTCTCGGCAGCCTATGATGATGATGAGAGGACTTCTCCTCAAATTAATAAAGGTTGTACCTTGTTGTAACATCACTGCCTTGACTGACAGCATGTTGAGTAACAAGTTATTTCAAGTTTTCACCGAATTCAATAGAAGCAGACATCATAAGTTGGACTTCCACAAGGACCAGTGCTATCCTCTGTTCTTTTTTCATCCATAGTCTGCCTGAAACTTATTTATTTATTAAATTTATTTATGCCAATAATATCATTCTCACAGTCCAACAAACCAACTTCAATGATGCAGAAGACATTTTCTCTCAAAAGCTGAATGACTACTTTAAAAAATGGTATCTCCAACCAAGCCTAACAAAAACAAAAGTAGCCACATTCTACCTTAGCAATAGCTATATAAATTACCAGCCTTCAGTGAAGTCTAGAACTATATTTTATAATATAGTAATTCCCTGAAGTACCCTTAAGTACAGGAGTAACACTGGAGAGATCACTAACCGTCCAGCAACACCTAGAAAAAACAGTAGCAAAATTGAAAAGTCACAACTATTTACTGAACAGACTGGCTGGAACACCATGGGGTGTTGATGCTAACCTCCTAAGCTCCATGGCTTTGATTTATTACACAGTTGAATTGTGTCTACATGTATAGTAATAATACCCATACCAAAATGTTGATATCCAACTCTGCTAGACAATGTGTATCATCTCTGGCACATTGCATAACACTCCTATGCACTGGTTATTTGACCTTAGCAATATCATATCACTTCACATTAGACGTCAACAAGCTCTCATTCAGCTATGGTCAAAGATGCTGAACAAGGTCCTGCCTATTCACCAGGACAATGCACAGCCAATCACAACATTGAAACCCCATAGGCCAGCTTGGAAAACATCTATTTATTTAACATCTACCCAGTTTAACCCAGAGAATGCCTGGATACAGGAATGGTCCAAGATAATCCCTCTACTAAACCACCTGGTTTTACTGGCCACATTTTGTCTGGTTGAAATTGAACAAAATTAGATGTCATTCTGGAAGAAGTGCCTTAGCCCTGTATCAGAGGGAATGAAAAGATTTCCCTTGTTCTGATTATGCTGCTGATATGCAAACTATTAAACATAGTGTGCAAATTTGTTCACAATGTGATTCTCTGATTTCCTAGAAGATCTGCATGAAGCAATGCCAGAGGCAATCGCCTGAATAGCTGAACTGGACATCCAGTTATGAAGCCACTGCCATAGAAGTTTTACTTATAATTACATGGACTATGTGTGTATGTTTACTTCTCTTCTGTCATGTTCTCATCACATGCTAAATAATAATAATTGTTTCACAGTAGTAAGTAAGAGCAAAGTAGCATCTCCAATGTTCGAAGCACGAAGTCTCCAAAAGATTATTGTTCTTAGCAGTATCAAAAATCATTGAGAAATCCAGAATTTCAACAAGTTGTATTCTCCATTTCTCTCCTACTACATTCTTTAGGGAACAAAAGTACCTCCGTGCCAATCTATGTATGAACTGAATCTAGACTGGAAAGGATCCAGCTAATTTGTTTTTCCTAGAACTTTCAGGATCAGCAACATTATTTCTTGCTCCTTATACGATTAGATATGGAGTATTGGTTTTAATATCCTATGGGTCAGAAGACTGAAGAAGCTACTTCAATAAGTAGATTCAACCAAAAAATAAGTCCAGTTGCCATGATTCAATTCTCAGGTTCCTATTTGTTTTTAAAATTAAATAACAAGACATTTCAGTAACATCACTTTTTCTACAAATGAAGTACAAGGTTTATCTATTCAACATTCTCAACAAGATTTTTATGAGTATTGTGTGGTCAGGGTTTTAGAATCATCAGTGATTATAGGAAATAACAGCAGATACTATAACATCCTAACTCCAATTCTGCAAACAACTCAAATTTTGAACAGAGCCTATTTATCTTTAAAAGCTAGATTTTTACACTAAAACCTAATTTTATTTTTAAACTAGCTAAAGAATGTTGATGAAAAAAAGACTAGTCAAAAATATTATACAATGATTATTTTTCAAACCAGTAAAATACATTTACTTAAATAAAAAATATACGAAAATAAAGCATTCCAAAATATCTCTCTCTTTCTAAGTAACACTACAGTACTTGCCTGACTGACATCCAAAAACCAAACTTGCCAATACAATGCTAAAATTCATTCTGGGACAATGAAATCAAGATGTTTGCCTTGTCGTGCTACGCTGCAGAATTCAATTGCAGTATGGTACTATTCATTCACCTCAGCAAAACATGTATATTACTTATTCTCACATAAGCTACCTTTACAGTTGTTACAGTTTCCTCTTTTATGGCCATTTATCCCATGTTCTGAATAGTGAGAATCAAAAAATATAATTAAAAAGTCAATCCTATTTCAGTTGAACATTTCAAGTGACTGAAAATGTATAAGCAAAAGAAATGGAGGAATGCAAAGAGTTTATTTTATTTTAAATTTTTAAATGCATGTTTATAGTGAAATTATATTTAAAGTGATTTTCAACATCAACAAAATAATAAATAAACCGCAGAGAAGTCAATTGAAGTTATAAAACTAGTAAAGCAGAAATAAAATAGTAGCCATCACTGATTAATTTAAAGATGGTAAAATCTAAAATGTCAGCTAAACTATAACATTAGTGTTGACAGTCAAACTTCCCATGTCACTCATTACCTAATTTTTGAATGCAAGGTCACAC